TCTATAATAGACTATCAAAGAATTACAATGTTTAAATCATGTACATGTCTGAAATGTACTTACTAAAAATATCCTTATAAAGATCTTTTCACAGTATCTAGCTCTGTAATCATTTGTTTCCCCGTTCCTGGTTTCACGCGACAACGTTGCGCAGCTACTTATAGAACTATACATAAATTTGATCTACATAGTCCACTGGGCTAGGTGCTGCGAAAAGGGACCAAATTAACAAAATAGAAGATCTTCGGAAAATCAATTTTTATGTTATAAACCTTATAATAAATCATAGGAATATGCAAACTTTGAAGAGCAATATAGCAAAATTTTATTAATATAACTACTTTTGTATTTTAAATAAAAAATGAATCTAATCTTATTCTAAATTGATTTATGTAAAAAAACAACTTTTGAAAAAATTGTTAAATTGGTCCCTTTTTGCAGCACCTAGCCCATATAATCATTAAAATATGAATTTACTATGATTATTGGAAAATAGATAAGAGATAACAGTAATTATATAGTTCTAAATATATAAACAGTAATATAAAGAAAGTGTAGGCAGTTTCTTTTCATTGTAGGAGTATTTAAAATTTTCTGTTTAATATAAGTTACTTTTTCATTCGTTATTGTTCACTTTTTATTTATAAATAATAGATAATGCTATTTAATAAGTTTTAATAATGTTGGTAAACAATAGTAGGCTCTGTGATAGTTCACTTTTTATTTGTAAATAATAGATAATGCTATTTAATAAGTTTTAATAATGCTGGTAAACAATAGTAGACTCTGTGATAGTACGTACAAAGGTCTTATTTTTTTGGCAATTAGACTCTACAATCACAAAACTTGTAGATAAATAACATTCATGTTACTACATAATGTTATATAATCAATTCTTATTATAGCTATATCAATATAATTCTTCTTGACTACATCCTCTATATAAAGACAGAACCAGTTAATTCTGAATTAGCTTATAACATGTATTCTTATAATCATTGATATATAATTGATTATAAAGTGTAATCTTTAGGGTTGTAGATATAACAAATGGAAATCTTTTTTTGTACAAATGAAAAAATAATAATGTACTATATGTAAAATAAATCAACGGTATAATTAATTATCACAAAATCTAACGCTAAAACATTTTTACAGTACTTCAGTAACACCAGCCAAAAAATCATATGACGGGTTAAAATAGGAATTCACTTAAAATTAAGAATTTGCTTACTATAAAAATTAAGAACTATTTACTATTTTAATTACTATTGCTATAGTAACTTCAAAATACTAAAATTATACAATTCTAAACAACAGGGTTATTAATTTGTTATGCGTCTATAGCAAGCTAAGAACTTTTCGCCTTTATTACGCTCCACTTTTTTGCCTTCTTCCGTCTCATTTCTGACAATTGGAATAACTGGATCTTTCTCCTATATTATGATGAATGGATTTACCATAAAGAACGAATTCAGAATCGAATTTAACTAACTGTATATTATATTAAAAGTCTCTTACCGCTTCTTCATCCGATATTCGTTCAAAAAGTGGATGTTCATCAAGATGTCTAACCATCCATTCATGTAGATCTTTTACATCTGATATAGTGTAAATTATACCACCAACACGCAAAACGTATGCATACTCCGCTAACAGTTGATTACTATCGTATATACTTGATAATTAATACTTGCATTGTTTAATGGTCTTATCTAGGCTCTGGTCATCTGGGTTGATCAATTGGGCTGCCATCAATAGAGATCAAGCAGATTGACATTTTTACAAAACATTGTTGGATGATGTTGAAATTGGCTAAAGCTGAAAATTTGAGGGTCTCTATTTAGGTCCATAAAACTTATTAAAATCCACTTATACTTGTTTATTATAAATTCTACCCATAAAGCTGATCCTAACCCTAAAAAAAAGTCAAAAAAATGTACCCCAAAATTTTTTAAATTTTCATAATAAAATAAGGCAAATTTTCAGCTTCAGTCAATTTCAGCTTCAGCCACCACAAAAATTAATGCCATAATTTTTACTGCTCATATCTCGATGAATTTCGAAGCTGTTCTTACAAACGAATAGTAAATGAAGGTCTAAGATCTAAGCTTTCTTTTAACCATTCAATCATGAGAATAGCTTCGAAATTCATCGAGATATAAGCTAAAATTAAGCATTGATTTTTTTTAAAGTGTCAATCTGCTTGATTTCTATTGACAGTAGCCCAGTTGAATCCGAATTACAAAACCATATAAGAAGATTCCTAAATTTCTGGTCAGGCATTAACGAATTCTAGCTGACTACCTCTATAATAAATTACCATATGATAATTTGTGCTTAACAGGCGGGTTGACTCAATAAATTTTAAGTGACCGTAAGGTTTATCGATGTTAGACAACAGACCAGAATTTGGGAACCATCATATGTGAGTTTGAGTCATAGACCGATTCAATTCGATAATCCAAACCCGATTCGATTCGGATATGATCCAATTCGATTTAAGAATGATTCAAATCGGGTTGAATCAAATTTTGGCTGATTCGAAATGTTTGACCAATTCGATGATCCGATCATTGGTCTATACTTACGTTATAACCCTGGCTTTATGTTTTCGAGCCTTAAAATGTGGATCCGGAAACAAAAAGAACATTTTCGATAACTTACAAATTTGATTATATATTAATCAAATTATGTTCTTATCTATGCATGCCGAATATATATTAGTAAATGCCTTATCTACCTGCCCTTTTTCAAAGAAATTTGGCAAAAATTTCATGACATTCATTCTTATTATAGATATATTTTGATATTGTCCCGGGTGTTGTAATCTTAATGCGGTAATTTTTTCACGTACATATTCTTCAACTTTTACACGGATTTCCATACCTGTAAATTGCAATGTTGAGATCAGTTATTTGTAAATAAATGTTTAAATATCATGACTTACCTAGCATTAGGTTCTCTGGGTATAATGTTGAAAGTGAAAAAAGTAAACCACCATAACCACAGCCCAGATCAGCGAACTCTACTTTTTTTTTCATTAGAGGTCGACCCATTGGTTTGGTGGGCATGTCAAAAGACGATTCATTAGAATTCTCTTCACAAACGAATGCTGGATAATGAGCGGACCAATCCATTTCAGCAGGGCTTTTCGGACTAATTAATTATGAGCTTTTAATGTGTGATTACATTATTCTTTATAAACAGAGGCAGAAAAATGTTACTTGCTAGTCAAGATGATGATCTGAGAAAGGATTTGAGTGTGCTCGTTGTCGAAAAAATTTTTTCTACAAATGTACAGAAAAAAACTCATAATAAATATTGTAGGTTAATTAAAAAAGTTGGGGGAATGTTTTTTACCTGTGGAAGTTTTCCAGACATTATGGTGCGAAGTTTGACGAAAAATTGTCTTCGTTTCAAATAAAAGTTATTAATGTTACTGTGCATGAGATTATCGAGCAGATCTAATCATCCAATCAAAATTGGTATTAAATAACATGGCATATGCAAACCCAGAATAACAATAGTGGGTTGTACAGAAAAAAACTACTTTTGCAAGGATTTACAAGCTTGCAGGTGCGTTTTTTTGACTGTATATTACTTCTAAAGATTGTATTTTAACTAAATATAATTTCGTAAAACATTGGGATCCTTTATGTATGTGTTTGGAATCTGAATTCTCTTGGTCTTTTTGTTTCTTTAGAAACATACACTAATCAAATAATTCATAACCCTTAGCCGTCCTTTTCATCATTTCGAAAATGTCTAGTAAATACAGTGCACTTCCCGATATTGTAAGTTGTTTTTGTAATTTAATATAGAGTAATATGGCCTCTGAAATTTAAAAATACGTACATTGATGCTTAATTATCAATCCTGAAAACAAGGACACTCAACCTGACGTATACGAGACACCCGATACTGTCGAAGACGCCGAAGTTTCTGACGATGGTGTAAGTGTTTCTATATATAATTTCCTTGTAATTAAAAAGCTAAATTTTTTATCTATGCGTTTAATATTTGTATTGACCGAACAATTCCATTTTTTTTAACATTAGTTCCCCAGTATTGAGGAACAAAACGAAGATATTGTTAATGATAAAATTACTGTTGGCGAAGCTGTTGATAAATTTAAAGACAACACCGGGGAAGCTGCAGAAACAGGTACGTACAGTACTGTTTACTGATTGATATATCTGCTTGTATTAAGTTTTGTTGTCTCTACAACAGTAATTTCTCCAATTTGATTAATAGATGCCGAGAGAGCCATTCAATACAAAAAACAATTGTATAAGCAATATGTGAAACGACCTTTAGAATATGAAATCCTTCCAAGGGATCCCGCATTACAGGAAACTTCTTTGCAAAAATTGAGAAGATTGCAGTATGAAATACAGGAGCTCAATGAAGAGGTAGAAAAAAAGAAGGTATCGATAATCTGTTTATAAGATTGTTCTTTTGTCCATCTGAGAAACACACTTATCATAATTGATTCATTAAGGACGAAGCCTCAATAAATACACTTAATCATAATGCACTAGCATCGCAAATATTGACTTTGCAAGAGGATCTATCTCGTATCAGTCAATCCTTGGGAGATTCAGATGAACAGGAGGGTACAATAATAAAACAAGCTGAACTTGGCAAAAAATTGGTTCATCAATTGCAGACTTTCAAAAGTGTTGGTATGTCCAAGACAAACGGGACAGCAAGTGAAACAAATGGAATTGATGAAAGCGCTATAAGGCATGCTCCTAATTCCGATGCTGGAAAAAATGTAAGTTTGATATTCGGTGTTGGTACAATATTCAGTTATTGTCATCGTCATTAAATGATTATTTATACAATATAGATGGTTACATACGAATTGTTTTATTCTCCTGAAACCGCACGAGTTCATACTTTAGGCAAGATAACTGAATTAGATGAACGTATTGCTGCTCTAGAGAAACTCGTGGGCACAGCTCATGGGCAAAATTTCGAAGACCTTGTAGGTTATCATTTAAATCTGTAACCCACTGTCTAAAAATTTGTTCATCTTTGTGTTAAACTCTTATCTCTTTTTTTTCTTTTCCTTCGTCGACGCCCATTGAAAAGTCAATTTCTATAACAAATACTAATCTCATTGCTGCCGTCGACAAGCTTGATCAGCATATGCAAATATTGGCACAGCCTCGCCATTTGGAGTCTGTTTCTCGAAAAGCAAAAACTCTTGTTGGAGAGTTAGAAAAAGTGAATGAATTGAAGAGTAAAGAATTCATGAATGGCGGTGTCATCAATTATGATACCCAAGAAAGAGTTTGTATTTGTTTATTTTTTGATTTATGAAAAAATAAGGTTATCCCTCTATATTAATCACTTTAAAAGCACATTATATTAAAAATTTATCACACTCAGTAGAGTTCCAATCCATTATCAGTTTATCCATTTATCTATCGGATATCCAGTTTACTATTGATATCCGGATATCAATAGTAAATGGATGACAGATTTATCCGGATTGGAACTCTAACACTCAGTTCTGTGCTCAAAAAAATACTATTTGGCTTATAAAACTATATCTTAATAAGCAAAAACTCTTTAAAATGCTTTCTATCCATTTAATTATAAAGAAGGATGACTATAGCTGCTAGTATAGTTAGTATATACACACAAATTTAAGACAATATTAATATGGTTACATTTTTTTTCGCCATAAAAGATCAATTATCTTTTCGCTCTTTTGGACAAGGTTGATCCACTGATTTCCATTGCACCAGCTTTGGTCAACCGATTGAAATCTCTGCAACAATTACATCAAGAGGCCGCAGTATTTAGTGATACTATCAAGATGTTGTCTGATGAACAAAGCAAAATTCGTGAAGAATTGAAAAGTCTGAATGATGTTTCTGGAAATGTAAATAGTGTTGCTTACTGTTTGGATAGTTCTTATATTTTTGCACTGTAACATTAATTATTATTATTAATTATAATTTATAGCTTGATAAGTCTTTCAAGGTTAATGAAGAGACTATTCAACAAAACATCAGTACCATGGATGCCCGTGTTACTGATCTTGCCAAACGATTAGAAAAATTGGGAGTAGAGATGACAATCAATTAAGGAATGTCGATCATTCAATTTGTTTGGTCGTGACCGAATATAAAAAATTTTTTTTTTGAATATGGTCAGTCGATAAATGGTCAAATATATTTGATCATTTAATCGTCATTCCTGACACTATGATCCACTCGTATTATATTCTCTACAATACTCACATTTTTCATAATTTGAATCTTTATAACGTCAATTATATTATTAATTATTTCATATTATTCGTGCGACTCAAATTTAAATGTATGCTTAGACTAGTCAACGCGAATAGAATGAATATTCATTAAATAGTTTTAAGAATTCCACTTTTAAAATCTAAAATCCAAATAACTTAAAATAATCATATTCATCTTTATTATTTCCATGCTAAATCTGTAGTATTAATGTCATGTTGAAATTAACTTCTTAAAGTTGCATCTGACACTTTAAATTAGGTCCTGCAATGTTACGAAATTTTTTGCAGTAAAAATTTAGTACCTTAGTTGTTATGGGATTCTACAAATGATGATCTGCACAATACAACCAATCAACGTTTACTATCTAGTCAAATTCGATAAATATTTCACTTCGAATTATTTTTATTCAAGACGAAAAAGTAGTGTCTCCCGATTGAAATTACAAGTGCAAAAATACCGTTCCTGATGGATCGTTAGTACTGTTCCTAATAGGATAAGAAACAAATATCGATTTACATACTAGGTTTTTAAAAAAAGGCCTTCAAAATACCATACTACTATAGCGAAGTATATGAAATAAGTTAATTTTGGGTTCGTTCTTAATACCCTATCGGGAATAGCACTCTAATAGATTTTTTTTCACCAAGGTCAGTTCCAAAGATCTATCAGGAAATGTCACCTAATTAATTATTGAGGTGTGCTTAATAAAATACTTCTTTTTATACACTGAATTGTTACTTATCGTGCATATTTTTATTTCGGTGAAATAAAAGGTATTTAATACGGTAAATGATGAATTGCTAAAAAAAAACAATATCAACATCGCTATTTATGATTATTAGTTTGGAATTTTTTAAATCCTCAAGTTTTTACAATTTGGTCTTGTTAATTATCTATTATTTAGTTTTATAACAAATGTCTATAACATTAAATCTAAGAATTCATGCTATGATAATGTTAAATATGATGAGGAATATTTCTTGAAGAAAATAGTCACAGTATATCAACCCTTATCCAGTATACCAGTTATAGTAATTCAAAAAAAACAAAAGCGAGGATAAATTTTGCCTACTCGATAGCTTAAATAATATAAACTATTATTTGTAAATAACATCGATATTTATTTTACCACTTTCTTAAACGCAAAACCTATATATATCCCTTTATAAGGTAAATATACATTAAATTAGCACTTCAATTTAAAAATCAAATTATATATCTAATCTCACCTGCAGCTTCCCATTCTGCATCGCTCATCTCACCATACTCTTTATTGAGTTTAATTACAGACATCTTGTATAGTAGTTGGCGATATTGTGGATCCTCTTTTGCTTCGTTGTATATATCATGAAATCTCTTTTTGTATATTAATTCGAAACCATATTTTTTTGCCATCCTAATAAAAAATAAGTTTGAATAATAAAAATGTAAAAGGTAAAATCAAAAATCTTAAAATATCTTACGACATACCTTTCAAACGTTGGAAAGTGAACCAAATATTCTGGACAGTCATTTATGGCGTCCTCAAGATAAAAATTATATTTGTGTCCGAAGGTTGGAAATTCGTGTTTTTGTTCGAATATGATGGAATATATCGAATTACCGAATTGTAACTCCTTTGGTCCTAAGGCCTTTAGTTTTTTACTAATCGACAAGAAAAAAGCACATAAATTAGAACGAATTGGTAACCAATAAGAAATGAAATATAATTCTTACGCAATCCAATTGGCGTCCGTTACCGTGCCGATAAACAAACCACCTTCTTTTAGATTAGAAGATGCATTAATTAAAGCCATGCGTGCTTTATTTTCTGTCTCAAACGAGTAATGAAGACATAATTGCATGCTGACAACATCAAACTTTTTATTTTTTATAGACGAAATTGAGGTAATTGGGTTCTAATTGAATATATGCAAATTTAAATTAGTAATAGAAACTAGTAATCGGATATTGATAGGTAATCGAAAGTTAAAGCTTACAGAAAAACAATCTAAAACATGGAATTCTGCGGGATATTTATCTATTATAAAGTAAATTTGAGTTTTTTTAAAACCAAATTTTTTAAAGTAATCACATGTGATTAAGACATTAATACCTCTAATATTAAGATTCTCCCAACGATTTTTGGCATGATCAATTGATACATCTGAAAGGTCTAAAAAGAATAAATTATAAAAACTTTAACCTTATTAAACACATATTTTTTTAATAATCAAATAGGTTGTAAGTTATTTAGCTCAAAAACATACCAAGACCCACAAGCGCAGAAATTTTTGCGGCTTTCCATTTAAGGAGATCACCACCCTTTCCACAGCCAATATCGAGAACTGTAGAATTAGCACCAACATATTTCCCAATTATAACACTTTTAATCCAATTATTGAAATTTTTTAAAAATAATATTGTAGATTCATTTCGTTTCTCAACACCAACATCCGGTTTTTCATTGTAATGTTCACGAACACGGCTATTAGGAGTTGAAGCTTTTGATGCTTTTATCGATTTGTTAGAGCCGAGTTTTGCTTCATTTTTTCGTTTCAAATTTTGCTCGTCAAATTCACTATTTTTTTCGTGCTTTCGCTTTAAGTTTTGATATTCGAAAGCTTTATTTGCCATTTTTTAAAATTAAAGAACGCTAAATACGTAGTGTAATGAATTTCTTTTATAAGGTCATAGTGTAGTACATGTTAAATATCGGAATATTCGGCCGATTAACTGTATTGGACACATTCCTCAACTAGAATGTCCAGAATTCTGCAGTGCATAAATCTAAAAATATTTTTTTAAAAATCACGTTGATCTTACAAATACAATAGGAAAAATATTTTTAAAGTGAGCACCGCAGAATTCTGGACACTCTTTTCTCCCAACCACTTCACTATCGAAGAACTATGTATAATAACACGATATGTGAATAATTAGTAGAACCAATAAGAAGTGATGTGACTTTGCAATATATGGGCTAGGTGCTGGAAAAGGGCCGAAAATGACAATTTTTTCAAGATTTTTTTTTTTAATTAGTTGTATTAATAAAATTTTGCAGTATAGCTCTTAAAGTTTGAATTTTCTTATAATTTTTTAATATAAAAATTGGTGGTTGTTAGATTATATTGTTATCGTTATCATGTTAAAAATTTGGTTTTATATAATGCATATAATATTTCATATTTAATAAGCGACACAATTCAACGCCAAGAAGGCGTGTGCTGTTGTAATAATTTTTATTTTAGAATAAACTTTCTAATGATAAACTTTAGCACCTTATTGCATCTACAATTCTTTATCTCAAATTGCGTTTACAATAATTGAACTTAAAATTGAATTCAACCTAATATTTCTTTAATGCTGTAAATTGGGTTGAGCTTGTTAATAACTTCGTAGTGTATATTTGTTATATGGCTTCACTTAAACTAGAGACAGTATTCGTTATTCGTTAAATAAAATCGAAGTTTATTTTATGACGCAGTGTGCAGTAAAATCGTATACCGTAGCACATTGACTAAAGCATCTTTAACAAATATCTCGTACAAAAATATCATGTCTCGATTAACTAAATGTGAGCTTTCTGAAAATTTGTTTTATATAGACCCATTACAGAGTAATAGGTTGTTTAGACAGTGCTTATTAATAATATCTTTTTTTGCAACCTTTTTAAAGTTTTTTACAAACAAGTTTAATAAATACTTTAGTCTAAGAAATGTTTAGAAGTCTTATGCTGGAAATTAAAACATTAAGAGATTTTTTTTTATATCACTGCTTTCAGCAATGGTAGATTTTTTATCCTATTTTAGGAATACTTCTAAACAAGTATTTCTAAAGATATAACAAAGTAAATTTTTTGTCTTTTTTCTAAAAGCTTGAAAGAAATAGTATTTAGCCTTTCTATCAGCAAATCAAAATTTATAATAAGGCAGAGTAACTTATCATTATTAATGAATTTATATAATAAATGACCTTTATTTTAAATGAATAGCTTTTATTTCATTCTTATTATTTACACTAAGAAACATTTTCTTTAATACTAGCATCATGAATTTTATATAGGTATTTGCTTATATTTTTGGTTTTAAACTTGCAAAAGAACGTATTAAAGAAGTCTGAAAGCTCAAATTGGCTTATTTTTTTAAATATGTTATCTAGTATACTATTTTAGTATACTATCTTAGAAAAAAAATTAAAATAAAAAATAAATATTATATACTTTATCTTATATAATGTTTGAAAAAATTTTTATAAAAAAAATTAAAAACATTAATATATATTTTAGACACCAAAAAATAATTAGAAATTATATCTAATAAGAGGTAAATATATTTGCTAGTATTATGCTATATTTATTGAAAAAAATATCAGCAACCTTAATATAAATATGAACATTGTTAAAAATCAATCAATGGCTTTTGAATATAGGATTTGTAATTTGTATATAAATATGTATCATTTAAACACATATTATTATTAGAAAAAGTTAAATAAGATGTTTCAGAATAGGCAAACCCAAAAGCAATAAGTTAGGCTTTTAATAAAATAAAAATATATAATGCAATTAAGAGTTGGCTTTAGAAAATTGTTTTTAAAAAGTTGTTTTTAGAAAGTTGTTTTTAGAAAATTGTTTTTAAAAAGGTGTTACTAGAAAAAATATAAAGAATACTTCTAAGAATATTAAAAGTAGGCTTTTTTTTTTTTTTTTTTTTTTTTTTTCTTTGGCAGTCTTGCTGATTTCTCTTTATTAAGACATCATGTTTTTTATACAAACATTTTTAAACTTAACATATTGAGTTGACATCTCGCAGTTACTTCTATAAGCACTTACAAGCGATCTGCCTGTACCAGTTGCCTAATTTCCTAAGAAAAAAGATGATCTGAGAGCACATCTGACCACCACTCTACAATAGGATATTACTAATCTGATAACATCTTCTCGTAAAAAAGTGAAAGAAAACAAAAAAAAACTTATTATATAACAGAAAAAAGAAAAAAAACACAGAGGTATAGGGAATAAAAATAAAAGATACAAAACAAGAAATAAAAGAGGAAAAGGAAAAATCGATAGAAAAAAAAAAAAATATATGCAACTTTCACTATATAACTATCAGATGGTCACAATTATAAGCCTGTGTCAGGCTTTTAAAAATTATAAACTATACTAAATAGAAATAACT